GTGGGTGATTATCAGCGGCTGCTTTTTTGTTTTTTTTTAAACATGACCTCTAGGTGTCACCCTTGGCCTCAGCTTAACCCGCCCCTCCCGTGCTCCTTCCCTCTCCCCTTCTCGTGGAGGCGGCTCTGGACGCTCCCGCCTTTCTCGCCCTGCGCCTGCCCGGCCTCCACCTGATTCCGTTTCTCTCCTAGTCCGTGGAGGGCTTGACATTTTACAAAGGGTGGCCTGGAAGACCTCACAGAGAAGGTGACTTTTGTGTGTGTATGCAGGTGTGGTAAAATACACATAACAGGAATATTTACCTTGTTAGCCGTTTCTAAGTGTACAGTTCAGTGGTATTAAGTACCTCCATCATCTATCTAGGGAACTCTTTCCCTAGTCCCCAGCTGAAACTCTGTGCCCACTAAAGAACTCCCCACTCTCCCCTCCCCCCAACCCCTGGAACCACGAGTCTACTTTTGACTACGCTAGAGCTTCGTATGAGTGAAATCATGCAGTATTTGTCTTTCTGTCCAACACGTTGTTCAATGGACAATTTTCAGATCTCATTTCACTGCCTCTCAGAAATATTTGATGCTGTTGACCACTGTCTACTTTCTGAAATACTCTTGCCCCCCTTTTATAACATCATACTCACTTGGTTTTCCTTTGGCACGTTCTCGCTCCTGTCTCTGCCTGTTTTTATTTTTATTTTTTTTTAAGATTTTATTTATTTATTTCATTGACAGAGAGAGAGAGACAGCGAGAGAGGGAACACAAGCAGGGGGAGTGGGAGAGGGAGAAGCAGGCTTCCCGCCGAGCAGGGAGCCCTATGCGGGGCTCGATCCCAGGACTCTGGGATCATGACCTGAGTGGAAGGCAGTCGCTTAACCAACTGAGCCACCCAGGCACCCCTCTGCCAATTTAAAATGTTGGTGCTGCTAAGGGCTTCACTTACCATCTCCTTGCTAGATCATCCCCACATTTATGTCCCCCTTCCTAATCTTTATTCAACTGCTTATTTACTGTCTTCATTTGGACGTCCCACTGTCACCTCAGATTCAACATGCCCAACATTGTCCCCGTTCTTCTCATGCTCCCATCTCAGCACCTGCCCCACTGGTCTCCCGTGGTCCTATTTGGAAACCTACATCATTTTTGAACCTTGCTGTTTCTCATCCCTCACCTCGTCAGTCACCGTGTCCCTGCCCATTCTATTTCCATAACATCTCTCAAACCATCACCTTCCTCTTCATCCCTCTGTACCAGCCAAGTGCGGGGCTTCAGTCTCTGCATCACCTGGGCACTACAGTTGCCTGCCTGGCTTTAGGTTTACTACTGTTCTAACCAGTCTCCTCCTTGTAGCCAGAGTTACCTTTGAAAAATGTAGATCTGATTATGTTACTGTCCTGCTTAAAACCTTCATTAAATTCTGCTTGCACTTAAAGACAAAAAAATTTCCCCTAGCTGATCAGCCGCTGACAACCTTTCCAACTTTTGTTGTCACCAACCCCCCCCCCCCCTCACCGGCCCGACCCCATACTGTAGTTTCTTGAAAGTTTCCTGCTTCTTCCAACTCAGAACTTTGGTCTTTGCTGTTCCCTCCTGCCTAGAATAATTTCTTTCCCACTTGCCTTGACCTGGCTAACACTTTATCAATCAGTAGGTCTCAGCTTAACTTGTTTGAGGATGTCTTCCAAGACCCCCAAGACTTATGTCCAGTGCCTCAATATTTATTAATGAACAAAGGCCTCAAGGGGCTGGTGGGTGATTATCAGACTGCAGTTTTTAACATAACCTCTAGGTGTCACCCACGACCTCTGCTTAACAGGGACTTGGCTGGGAACTTGGAAGGAGGGACTGAGTAGGCGCCTACCTGGCCCATCCATCCAACTGGGAGAGGTTATGGGAAGCCCAGTTTCTTCTCTCAGGTCTGACAACTACTCCGCCCGCTCTGGGTCAGCTGCCTTGATAGGGTGACCAACCATCTCAGTTTTCCCAAGACTGAATTCCCAGTGCTCCCAAGATGTGGAAATTTCAGTCCTTATACTGGGACAATCCCAGGCAAACCATGGGCAGAGGGGCCAAAACTTCCATGTCTGCATGAGACTAAGGTCTAGGCGTAGCAGGAGAGCTTAGCTATAAACCAGCCAGGCTGATCACAGCAACACCACTGGTGGGCTGACCTTGCAGCCTGGTAGTTGTAAGAATTTAGGGACAGAAAGTATATATATATATATATATATATATATATATATATATTTTATTATTATTAGTGCTCTTCCGTTTTATTTTTATTTTTTAAAGATTTTACTTATTTATTCGAGGGAGAAAGCTCGAGCATTACAGAGAGAGGGAGAGAGCAGGATCAGGGGCAGGGGGAGAGGGAAAAGCAGACTCCCCGCTAAGCAGGGAGCCTGACGTGGGGCTCGATCCCAGGACCCTGGGATCAGAAAGTATACATATTTTAATGAGTATAAAGAGACCCACCTATGTGTGGCATTGGTTGAGTGCCACTGGGCATAACACACATACATTGTTTCTAATCCTCATAGAAACCCCAAGAGTACAGAAGATCATTCCCCTATATGGAGATGAGAAAATAAGACTCAGAGAGGTTAAATGACCAGCCTAAGTCACACAGCTATTAAGTAAAATGGTGAAATTCAAACCTATGCCTATCTGACTACAGAGCTCCTGCTGTTTTCACGGAATCTATAGCCCGACCATTTCCCTCCTACTCCATCTTCATTTGGAGTCCTGAGTGTGTATGTAGGAGGCATGAGGCAGGTGTAGGTAGAAGGGATTGAGGAAGAGCCCTGTGATCAGGGCGTGTGGGAGGTCCACTAGCATAGACAGTTCACCTGTTCATAGATAAGTGGGCTCTGCCATCTTAAACTAGGTATGGACATAGCCTGGGGATCTCCAGGGAGGCCCCACCATAGGCTGCTGTCCTGACACCAAGCTGTGTCCTCACTGAGGAGCCAGGGTTGTATTTTCTAGAGCCCAGGATGAAACCAGCCAGTTCTTATTTGATTGCAAATGGACATCTGGACATGGGAGAGGCACAGGGGAGGAGCCATCAGGAGCTAGCCACGAACTAGAGGGACAAGTGAGGGTTAGGAGGATAGGTGGAATTTGTGACAAGGGTCATGCTAAGCACTGTGGCTTGCCCAAAGTTTGGGCTCTGTGAATGGTTGCAATTAATGATATAGCAGCTGCTTCTCTTTCCCAGAGATATTGTAAGGCTGAGTTTTATTTTTGCCTAGGTGGTTCTTTAGCAATTGAGCTGCTTCTGAATACTCAACAAGAGTTGGTTGTGTAGAATTATGAGCAGAGGGCTGACTTTGGTTGTGTAGAGGTATGGGCAGAGGCCTGACTGGACTGGGCAATGGTCAGAGCCTTAATGGGCACTCACTGGTCTGGATGCCAGAAGTCTACTCTACAGGAGGTGTAATAAGACTTTGGATTCCTTTAAGAATGTAAAGTTCTCTGGCAAGAAAGTGATTTGGGTTATGCCGTTTCACTTTATTTCCTTGGTGATGTCCACAGACTTTCATGGTGCTAGAGCAGTCCGCAGACCTGTCCAGCCCCTGGACCTGATATGGCTTGGCGCCCTGTGGCCAGGTTCTGCCCCTGGCTCCACTCTGCCAGTCAAGTCGTCCGAGAGCTGGAACTGAAGAAAGTCCACCCCAAAGCTCTCTGCTCTTCCCCAGCTGGACTTCCAATTTCTACCAGAGAACCGGGCCTCACACACGGGGCATAGAGGAGGGCTGGGGAGGAGGGGAACCATCAATAAAGCTGCTTTGTACACCAGACTCTTCTGTTCATTCTAAAAATACCTTGTATATTCCAACTTGACTAAAGGGAGGAGGATTTTGTGAAATAGTCACCAACAATATAGCATCACACTGATGTGGGACCTCTTGCCAGTAGCTCACGGAAGACAGTGACTTGGTGCAGTGGAAAGCACATGACTTTAGCGTCAAACAGAATTGGTTTCTGCTACTTTCTTGCTGGGTGACCTTGGGAAAGTTACTCGACCTCTCTGACTCTTGATTTCCTCAATTGATAAGTAGGAATTATGATAATGTCTATGTCACAAGTTTGTTTTGAGGTCTAAATTTGTTAACCAACATATATAAAGCCCTAAATCTGGTATATAAAAATATGATATTTATTTAGTGCTTATTATGTGGCATGCCATGTTTAAGTGCTTTATCAGCATAGCATGGGCTCATATAGCCCTATGAGTTGAATACTTTCATTGTCTATGTTTTATAGATACAAAACTGAGACTTGAGGAGTTTGAATAACCTGCCCAAAGTTACACAGCTGGTAAATAGCAGATCTAGGATTTGGACCCAGACAGTCAGGTTCCAGCTCAGGCGTACTTAACTACCAAGCCATGATGCCATATGGAATAGGGCTGAATAAAGAACAGCTATTATGATCATAGTAATTTAGTATTAAGTGCTTTTTATATCCATGGTGCTAAGTGTTAATTATTAGCATATTTGGACGCAACATTTATCCTTTTTGTTTCTATTTTTTTCCACAGCCATGGCAACAAAGAGCCTTGTGCTCGCTACAGCAGAGCGTCCTGCTTTTGTCCGATCCAGTCCGGTGCGTCAGTCTCTGCAAACAACAAAAGATGTGGCCGCTGGCTCCCTGTCCCTGCCCCCACTAGAGGACCAAGGGAGGCTGAGGCCTCTCTGGAACCAAGCTAGGAGAGCCGCAGACAGGTACAGGTCGGCAGACTGAGAGCAGGGCTCACAAAAGCGAGGTCATGCTTAATAAGCCTGATTAATTTCTTTGAGTGGCAACAATGCAAGGGGACAGGGGTGAAAAGA